GGCAGCAGTGAGCTAGTGGGACAGATGGGGTTGGGAGGTGCTTTCTTGGGCTCTTTTTTAGCCACTGCGAATGAAGGATCTAGATGAGATGTGCCAGTCTCCTGTAGGCTCCTGTAGGTACACAATGCATAGAGAGAACATGGACCTTGCTTGCCACAGAGTGTACAATCCAACACACATTTGTGACCACTGTGGAGCCTGTTACGTACCATGGTCGTCAAAGAGGTAACACTTTTCTTTGTGTTTTTTACCTAGAACCATGACTGATAAAACCCAAGGATCTGGTGACATCAATTTCCCCTTTCCTTTCCTACCCTACTCCATCTGGAAGGACTTCATGGCAGAGCTGTACCAGGTGTTGGGGGCTGGCAAGATTGGGATATTCAAGAGTCCCACTGGCACGGTATGTGTGTGACATGGGATGATGGCTGAGAATCTCGCCTCTGCAGAGATTCTTATAGCTGGAAGTTGGGCATCATGGTTATTCAGATTATTTCTGAGCTCCTGTGACTCGATTGGTAACCTCTGAGGCCCTTAGGCTTTGGGATCTTTGCTTGGCTGACTCAGGTCCAATTCTCTGTCTCTCTGTCTGTCCTTGAGCTGGTTATTTGCTCTCCTGCTTTTTTTGTTTTGTGAGTGTGAATTGCTTGACTTTTGTCCAGTATAAGAGGATTTGGCAGGAAATGCAGAAGAGCCATGTTAGATTTTGCCTTGTTTACCCTGTTGGCCCTGCACCTCCCTTTCTGGATTTCCATCCTGGTCCTCTGTTCCTTTCACATGTCCCTTCACTCCCCCCAGCCTTTTGGTGTTTATCCTTGGTTCCATGGCCTCTTCTCATGTATCCATTTCTGTAGAAACCTGCCCCCATGACACTATTTCCCTTTGTGTTCTGGTGTCTTCTAAATCACACGCTACTATGGAGCTACATAGGTGCCATGTCCTCTCACACCAAGTGGATGTTTTTTACTCTCCTGTTTCTAATGCATAGCCTTCCTCCCACTGCTGCCCAAGATGCCTGGTTACCTTCTGAGTCACTTGTGAAACCTTCTGTGATTCCAGCACCTGGAGGTGGCATCTTCATTTGGTGCCTGCACTGCCCTGCATGGCACTGCAGCTCTGGGAATGTCACCATCTAGATTTTACCACAGTATGTGCTGTCCTTCCAAATACACATTACTTTTTCCTCTGGGCACTTTCCAGGGCATCGCACAGCTGCACATGGCCAGTCCCTTTTTTCCCTGCACCCAGGAGGTGTCAGGAAAATGAATGAATTTCCTTTCCTGGGTGTGAGATTTACAACTAGGTGTATGGGGCGATGCTGCATGAGATGCCATCACTCATCTTGGTGCTCTGAGAGTGTTCATTGAAGTCTGCTCGATGTCTCTAATTTTAGAATTTTGCTTGGAGTTTTGTTTTATTTTTGGTTTGTTTGCTTTTGTTTTTGGTACTGGAGATTGAAATCTGGGCCTTTTCCATGCCAGGCAAGCGCCGTACTATGGAGCTACATCCTCAGATCTCTGCAATCGTTTATTTATACACTCGGCATGTTGATGTCACATGACACTCCTCTGCCTAGCAATCTGTTTGCTTGTGTTGACTGGGCTCTCCATGTCCTCAGAGCTGGAGCAGCTTGTTCATGTGGCTCACCTTAGGCACTCTTCATTCTCAGGACCAGCTTTGCTCCAGCCCCGCTCCCCACACTCACTCACCTGGCTGGCTGCTGATGTCCCATGCTGCCTAGAGCAGCGGCCCATGTTCTGTTGATTATGCTGCCCAGAACGTTGCCATCCAGTGTCTCTTGGGAGCTGAGTGAAACAGTGGGTGTGGGATCCTGCACACAACAGCAGTGTACTCTGGCACAGGGCCTTTCAAGGTCTAATGGACACCTATAGCTTCCATATCTCTGGATGATGATAATTTAATTAGTACTGTATACATCTCCCGCTGTAGCTGTTCACTTACTGTGTGCCAGGTATTCTTTGGATCCTGCTACAGGCATTTGCCTTTATGTTTTAACTAATCTCAGTGTCTGCACTTCTGTGTGAGGAAGAGCTGCTCCATCAATCCCTTTTTGCATACACATGTGGTGAACAAGGTGACCCCAGAACCCCAGAGCTGGCAAGCGGAGGAGCTCAGATGTAGCCCATGCAGCCTGGCGGTGGCATCTGAAGACTTAGGTGCCATTCTGCACTTCCTTCTTGCTGGGCACAGGGCTCTGTCTCCCTACAGTACATTTAGCTTGCAATAGGGTAGGAGCTCACGCCTATGCTCTGACATGCCAGCATCTTCATCCCTGGGCAGAGGGGCCAAGGACTTGAGCCAACCAAGTGTGCCTGGAGCAGCAGCTTGTGGACTCAGTCTGTGTCTGAGACCTTGGGATCTGGAACCTCACTCATACCTGAGGGGCTCACACAGCAGGATCCGCTGTCTCGCACTTCTGGCATGTTGGAGACCACTATGAAGTGCCTCTGAGCAGGATTTAAATTTTACTAATTGGCTTTCTATGTTTATCTGTGAGTCTGTCCTAGGCCTGGCCCCTTGCCTTGTGATGGGAGCTGATTCAGAGTAAGTGAACCTCTATGAATCACTGGTCCTGGCTGAGGTCTGTAGTGACCTGTTAAGGCTAGAGATACCTCAAAGGGCAAGATAAGGCCACAGCTGCAGACACTTGGCTCCAACCCCAGTTAACAAAACAGAGACTGCAGCTGCAAGAAACTACTTTTACAGTCTCACTTCTACCATGTCTTCATGATAAGACAGTGCTACTGAATTTACTTGATTCTTTACTTGGAGATGTCCTTGAAGTGACTCCCAAAGTCCTGCTCATTGCCTGCACTTTCCTCACCTTTTGTCCTTGGTCCTAATAAAAATGGGCTGATCCAGAGAAGTATTTGTCATATCCCTTGGAGTCTGGAGCTCAACTAAAGGGTTTTGACCCTCCTGGAGCCCTAAAACCATATACTTTGTCTCTTTTTATTTAACCTTTACTGTATACTCATTTGGGAGATTGGGGATCTCGGTCAGGACCTGATACTGGAGGTGACAGCAAAGTGGCAGCAGGGCTGGCTCTTCCTAGGGCTGCAGTGAAAGGGTCTGTCCAGGTCCCTACCATTCCCTCCAAGGGCACAGTCTTCACCTTCTGACTTCATCCAGCCTCCACCCCAACACATGGGTCCTGGGAAGCACTAGAGCTCTCCCTAGCCTCAGGTTTGCTAATTACATCTACAGTGATCCTGTGCCCAAATTAGGTCACTTTCTGAGACAGGGCAAGGACTTCCACATCCCAGCTTTGGGGGGAATTCATTTCAGCCTACAACAAGGGTCACAGGGAAAATTCTCATATTTAAATCACATTTCCAGAGCAATTGTCTGGCTTTGGGGGGAAAAAACAAACAAAACCTTAAGCACTAGGACAGATGGTGTTGTGACTGCACATTGGTTGCTTTAAAGCTGAGGCTAACAGTGGCTGCCCCTTGGCGATTCTGTGGATTTGTTCTGCATTTTCTGCTCTGAATTCCTTTTTAATCCAATTTAGTTTTTATTAGTTCATGTTTGCAGCACATAATGATTCCCTTCCCTTGGAAAGTTGGCCTACGCACACAGCACATCTTAATTCCCTTTTCATCCTCTCCCATCCCCTCGCCTCCTTTCCTTCTGCCCTCCCTTCATCTCTTAGTCTTCTTCTTATTTGCAAAAGAGGTTTCTCACTATTTCCTGTTTTCTCGCTTTTAATTTTCTCTTTATTTATATTTTGGTTTTCTCATAAGAAACCACATGATATTTAAGCTTGTATGCTTGATTTATTTTACTTAACCTTATGAGCTCAAAGTATGTCCATTTTCCCACAAATGACTCAAATTTGTCCTTCTTTGTGGCAAAGTAGTACTCCACTGTATGTAAATACCACATTCTCTTTATCCATTTATCTATGGGTGGACATAAAGGTTGTTTCCAAGATTTACCTATTACAAACATGCTGCTATAAAGTACACATGCATAATTGAAATGAGTAGACACTTCTGAAGAAGTAAATATGGCCAATAAATACATTAAAAAATTTTAGCATCACTGAGAGAAATTAGAGAAATGCTAGTTAAAGCAATAGAGATTCCTTTTTTTATCCAGAAAGATTGGATGTCATGAAGAAATCAAATAGTAGCAAATCCTGGTGAGGCTGAGGGGAAGAAAAATCCCTCTCCACTGGTGGTGGGAATGTAAACTACAGCCACCATGGAAATCAGTGTGGAGATCCCTCAAAACCCTAAAAGTAGAAATTGCATTTGACCCAGCTATTCCCTTTCTGGGTGTCTTCCCCAGAGAGTTAAGAATGTTGTATTACAGGGACACATACCTTAATTCTTTTGGCAGAGGTGGCTAATCTAATTTCTTATCACTGGTTGTTACCATGTAGAATTTGTATGCACACCACATAGTCACCATAAGTTCCTTTCAGAGTGCTGAGCATCAGGATTAAAGAAGTTCTTTCCTGCTGCTGGGTCCCATGTCTGTTTCTTTCCTTTTTCATGTTTGTCCTGGCTGTTGTATTGGCCACTCCTTTCCTTTCCTTGGTGGACTCAGGGCACCCTCTAACTTTTAAAGCCAGGGCTTTGAAGCCTTTACGAAAATGGGGAAAGTCCTCTAAATTTTAGCAACTTGGAAGGCTGAGCTGGGTGGGTGAAAGGGGCAAGTCTTGCCTGGCAAAATATCAAGACTCTGTTTCAAAATTAAAAGTGGAAAAATAAAAAGGTCCAGTTTGTAGCTCAGTGGCGTAGCACTGCCTGGAAGGAAGCAGGTGAGTTCACATGGGAAACACTGCCATCCAAGAGGAGAGACGCTCAGTGCAGTGGCCTCCATTCCTGCAGGGAAAGTCCTTGGGTCTCATCTGCAGGGCTCTGATCTGGCTCCATGACTTTGAACAGAAGAAACAGCAGGAAGAGGCTCGCTGCCTCCTTGTGCCTGGAGCCAGGTCAATGCCTGAGGCCAGGACTTGTGTCTTGCAGTCCCATCTTCCTGCCAGGTGACCCCCACTGACCTGAGGCCTGGAAGACAGCCAGACTGGGTCACCCAGTTTGTGCAGAGGAAGGAGGAAAGGAAGCTGGCAGAGCGAGTGAAGGTGAGTCTGGGTGGTATCCTAGGGTGGCTGCAGTGGCCTCTGTCCTTCCCCAGTCACTGTGCACTCTGCACTGGTCCCCTTAGTGCTGGCCCAAGGCAGAGGAAGGAGGAGCTGAGCAGGCCAAGGCTTATTTGCTGAGCTTGAGGGCCTCAGAGGGGCTGCTGCATCCCCCATACACTGGAGGCTGGCAGAGGTGCCCGCAGGAGCCTCCTCAAACCTGTGTCCCCCCAGGAGGAGCAGAGCATGAGGAGGAAGCGAGAGGAGCTGCTGCAGCAGACCCACCACAGTGCACAGCTCAAGTTTGCAGCCTAGGGCCGGGTGGGTGCCCTCCTGTCCTGCCCCTGCCATACTGCTGCAGACCTGGCCGGGCTGTCAGGCTTCCAGCCATATCCTCCTCCTGCAGCTGGACAGCCTGGTGGCAGAGAATGGAGTCCAGGCCTGGGTTCCTCCCAGGCAAGCAGCAAGACTATGTCCATGGTCCATGGAGGGACATCCTTGGTGACAGCCAGATTGAGGCTGAGGCCATCAGGGCCCCAGGTCCCAGTTCCAAGCCTTCTTCTCTCTGTGCTGCTTTGCAGAGGCAGGAAAAGGAAGAGACTGAGCTGCTGCTCTGTCTCAGCAGGGAGCTGCTGGCCAAGGGGCCAGGCCTGGAGCTGCTGGAGCCTGGGGAAGAAGAGCTGGTACTGGTGGAATATGTGAGTAACGAGGAGAGGACAGCCGCCAGTGGGTGAGACAGTGGCTGCCGTGTCCCCTATGTCCCCACCTGTGGCCAGGAGTGGGCTCCTGAAGGCAGCTCTTCCCTCCTGGAGTTCCCTGCCAGGCCTCGCCCTCCCCACTTCCTCCCATAGCCCCCTCCTCCTGCTCCATGAGCAGGGTTAGTTTCCCCTAGCTCAAAGCACCTCCTGTCCCACTGTAATTCCTCTAGCACCAGGCACATCACCTGTCCTGTGACTCAGTCACTACCAGGCAGACACGGTATCAGCGAGCATGGGGACCCATGGGGTCTGTCACAGCCTCTAGAGAGATAGCACTGCTGTAGGCAAGCACCCATGTGCTAGCAGAGAGGAAGGATGGACAGGAGCATGAGGGACAATGAGGTGATAGCTTTTGTGGGCTCCATAGGCCAGGGAAGGGACTGATGTCCCTCAGAGAGCAGGAGGAGGCCAGAGTTCACAGCTCTTCCAAGGTATCAGCCCCCGACTCCATAGAGGTCTGGGGCGATAAGGCCTGTGAGCCCCTCTCCATCAGCTATGCTGCTGTCCCCAAGCCTGAGTGAGTGTAACTGAGGCTGGAGCCCCTGAGACTTAGGAGGGGCACATGCAGATCTCCTGGAGCAGGCTCCCCTGACCACTGTCATACCCCAGTCACCCTGCCTGGCTCCATAACAGGCCTCTCTGGCACCCACCTCCCACATTGTCCCCAGGGTCCTTTCCTCCTCCCTGGCATAGGTCTCTAGCTCCTACAAGGCCCAGCTCTGTGGCTACCATGGCCTGGGTGTCAGCCCCCCGCCATTGTAGAAGACCACTTGTATTGGAGTCTGTTCTCCAGTTCCCTGGGCCTGGGCTGCTGCATGGCCGAAGCCTCCTGTGCAGGGACTCCAGGTCCTGTTTCAGCACCTTCCATGCTCAGTCACACCATGGCTCTTTCTTAAGTTACTTTTGAGTCTGGGCCTGGGGATTGTGCCCCTTGCCCTTCCTCCCCACACACCCTGGGCCACACAGACCAGAGGAGCAGGGCAGGCAGGGTGAGAGCTTGCAGGGTGGCAGGCAGCATCTCCGTGGTTGTGGGGTACCTTGCTATATAGGGTGAACCTCTGCTGGCTCTTGGCCCAAGCCCCTGACAGCTCAGTTGGTGTCTGGGAGCAGAGCTGTTGGGAAGGGCTTGCCCTGGGCTTGTCACTTTCTGTCCCTCACTTAGCTGAGATACTGAGGGGAGACTGAAGCATATTCTGTCCCTTAGGGTGGATGAGGATGAGGAGGACCTGGAGGAAGAGCATGTCAGAAAGGTAAGATGCCTGGCTCGGGCTTTCTGTGCAAGGCTGCCCCACGTGCACTGCTTTTCTCTCTTGCTGTCCTCATTCTGAAGTCCCAGAGGAGATGGAGCATCTGCCTTGGCCTCTGCCTCACACTTGGGGTGATGCATGGGAATGGCCCCTCACCCCCTCCACACTGTCCCCAGGAGGTGAGGGTGGAGACACGACCATCCCAAAAGAGACCCTGAGTGCTATGCTTCAATTGAGTCAGAGGCATGGCCTAGCTGGGGTCGCCTGGGTAGCCTCCCTTGGTGCCATCTGATGCAGATGGTGCTGTCTCCTTAAGGTCCTGCATTTGCAGTCACTGTACCTGTCCTGCAGGCTCTAGGCCTCAATGCTTCAAGAGCACTTGGGCTGTTCTGTTCCTCTTTGACTTCCCTTCATCTGCTCTGGGCAGATTTATTACTGCAGCCAGATGCACTCCCAGCTGGCCCAGTTTGTCCAGGAAGTTTGGAAGAGCCTCTTCGGCACAGACACCAGGCTGTTGACCCTTGGCTCTTGGCAGATGAGCCATATCCAGGCATCCTGGCCCTGGTTCCCTTCTGGCCTTCCCTGCATCTATGTCTCCCAGTCCAGGGTCCCAGCAAGGAGGGACAGTGGGGCCAAGGTGGCTGAGCTGTGGGCACAGCCTGGCCCTGTCTGCCACTCCTGGGAAGGAGGAGAAGTGGCTCCATGTTCCTCACCACCCATTTCTTCACCTCATCCTCTTGGCTTTAGAACCTTTGTGTGAATGAAGACGTGAGAAGCCTGGGTGCTGTGCAGCTGATCAGTGACCATTGCATGGAGACGCAGAGAAGCCCTCATGGTAGAAGCTGGGACCAGTGAGGCCATGGCTATGCTGGTGGTGATAGGGATATGAAGCAGCTGATGGTCCTCAGGAAGGAGGCCCGGGCCTGCCCCTACTAGGGTATCCGGCTCCCCATCCCCGTGGCCCAGGTGAGCATGTGCTACTGCTGGGGCCTCTGCTCTGTAGTCAGCCAAGCTGTCCAACTCTGATGGACCCAAGGGTGGGAGGCCACTCATTGGTGGGAGACTGGTTGGGTGCTCACAGAGAAACTGAGGCACACTCCACCCTGCTGCAGTCTCCTGCCTGACCCTGGCCCTGCATGGGTGAGGTGAGTGTAAAGAGTGCTGGACCTGCTGATGGATACACTGGAGGAGGCTGGGCGGTCAGTCAGCTTTGCCCTTATGGTGACCCACTGAGGTGGCTGCATGCTGCATGTGACATTCAGTGACTGCCCTGTGTGGTCACTGAGCATGAGCTGTGGTGCTCACATCTGAACCAGGACCTTATGCTTCCCAGGTTCTGAGTATTTCTTATTGTTCATCACTGTTTTCATTGTTCATCACGCGGTATGGAACCCAGGACCTTTGCACTGAGCTACATTACTCCCACCTCTTTTTTTTTGTTCATTTTTAAAAAATTTTTATTTTGAAAGTATACAACAGAACAAGTCAGAATAAAGCCAACTAAGATCGTACAGTGAAATTGGTACAGAACTTCACAGCAGGTTATCGGGATAACAGTAATAGGTATCACAGTATATTTTGTTATCTTTATAATAGTTGTTCTTTCAATCCCATATATCAAAATGAGATGAAATATAGAACACTATAGAACTTATCAAAACAGAATATTGAATAGAGCAGTACCATTAATCAGAAAAGAGCAAAACAGTAATAAAAAATATTTGCCTTCAAAGAAATGGTAGAAGGAAGTCCCCCTTATTTGCTATGGTCAATCTCCCAGGAGATGCTCAGATTTCTGGTTCCCATTTGCTAATGGGCGGGGAGGAGGAGGAGAAGAAGGATATGGGAAGTGGGATATTTGACTCTAGGCCATGTAGCAATAGGTTCACTATTGCTAAGCAAGGAGGCAGAATGGTCATTTGTTTTCACAGCGTCCTCAGTTCCAACATGGCGTGGATTTCAGGAGACACTGCTAGTTCTCTCCTGGGCGTGCTATAGTGGGCCACACTACCGCCGCTTACCAGGGAGGGGAGGTGCTGGCTTGGCTTTCCAGAGTCCTAAGTTCCAACATGGCGTGGATCTCAGGAGACACTGCTAGTTCTCCCCCTGGAAGGGCTGCAGTCTGCCACCCTGCCTCCACTTACCAGAGAGGGGAGGTGCTGGCTTGGCTTCCCAGAGTCCTAAGTTCCAACATGGTGTGGATCTCAGGAGATACTGCTAGTTTTCCCCCTAGAAGGGCTGCAGTGGGCCACACTACCCTTTTTTGTTTATTTTTTAAAAAATTTTTGAGACAGAGTCTCAGCACATTGTTAAGATACACGGGCTGAGCTGGAACTTTCCTGTCTCAGCCTCTCAGGATCCTGGGATGACACTTGTACCACCACACCCACCTTGGAAAATCTTTACAACAAAATGTACCTAAAATTGACAAAGTACTTTAGTTTTGGTTATCATTCCTCTGCCCTCAGCTGAGGCAGAGTTTATCAAGCCACGGGGCAGATGAGGAAACCGAGGCTCTGAGATTAGACAGCTGTTGCAGAATCACACAGCTGGAAGGCAGCAGCCCCAACGCTGGAAGTCTTTGGTTCCTGGGCCTCAGCTGCCTGAGGGCTTAAGGGAGGTCAGCAGCAGGGATTTCTCCAGTTCCTTCTCATCCTTGTGTCACTTCTGAGTTGGTCAATTGCAAGCCAGCACCTCCCCTCCCTGTACTTCTGAGATGGGCTGGGCTACAGCCCAGGTCTATGCAGTCACTTTCCCTCCCGAATTTCCCTATACATGGATGGCCTGGGCAGGAAACAACACAGCTTCCATCAGGACCGAGGCAGGCAGGCAGGTTCCCCACAGGACTGACCCGGCCACCATTCCAGTGGCCTGTTCTGCTCTCTAGCTGGTTGTGCTGCCCTACCCAATGCTGTTGCACGCAGCCACGTGGCAGGCTGCTGGCATCCGGCTGCAGGGCCAGGTCGTCATCATAGATGAGGCACACAACCTGATCAACACCATCATGGACATCCACAGCTTGGAGGTCTGGCGGGTCCCAGGTGGATTGGCTGGCATGGGGCTGTGGGCTGTGGACCCTTGCCCGAGGCCCCAGACCTCAATTCTTCTGGGGACAGTGCTTGGTAGAGCTGCACAGCAGCTGCTCTCCAGCTGGGACAGGGGCCAGAGAGCAGCAGAAGTCTTGGGTCATTGGGTCTTGTTATTCTCTGTGTTGCTCAGTAGGATTTAATTGGGGCACACTTGGGGTCCTCAGGAGTTTCTGTCTGTAATCTGTCACATCCTGTGTGCCTCTGCCCTCCACACTGACCCCCAGTGGGGCTGGAGTCCTGGCTGACACTGGGAGCCTGGGAACTCAGAAGGTGAGGCCAGGGCCCATGGTCACAGTGCAGCGATGGTGAGTGGGGAGGGGACCACTGGCTTCATACCAGCTGAACAAGGTCCAGGTACTTTAGGCCAGGGTGTGATGGTTACCATGGGAAACTCCAAGTCTTTCCCTGTCCAGTGAAAACCAGCAGGGAGCTTCTTTACCTGAGGGTTTCAGCCTTTTGGTTTGCCCAGCCTGGAAGCAGCTACACACAGAGCAGACCTTCCTGCGCCCTCAGCTCCATCAGCCCCAGGGCCAAAGACCCACGCTTGTGGGTTCCTGGTTCCCACTCCCCATTCCTGTGACGGCTCCTGTGAGTCCCAAGCTGGCGTTTTCTGGGCACAGTGTCAGTTCTCTCTGGCCTAGCCCTCAGTTGCTTATCCAGAGCCTGGTCTGACCTCAGCCTGTGCTCCATGCTCTGTCCCCAGTTCTGCCAAGCCAACTCCCAATTGCTGCAGTACACAGAGCAGTACAGGTGGGACACAGCCCTGGGGCAGGAGGGACGATCTGGTCCCATTGGCCTGCAGAGGGTGTGTGCAGCCAAATTCCCGTCCTGGTCCTGTGTCCACAACAGGTGCCTCAAGGGGCCAGCCTGCTTGGGACAGGACTGCTGGCTCTTGGGGGCCAGCCTGCCTTCTTCCTGGGGTGGTGATAATTTGTGAGCTGGCCAGGTAGCAGGGAGCTGTAGGGAAGCCCCCACTCGAGGCCTGCAGGTTTCTCCTCAGGAAGCTTCTGAAGGCCAAGAACCTAAGCAGATCCTGTATTTGCTGAAGCAGTTTGTGGCCATGCTGGAAGGTAGGCAGGCACTACCCCACACCCCGCCTTTTCCTTGGCTACCAGCAGGGACTCTAAAATCTCCCACAGGAGTTGTGTCTCAGTAATTGATCTGCAAGATTCCATTCCTTCTGCTGAGTCCAGGAGTCAAACCTCACAGTTTAGTGCATTTGCCCACATTCTGTGCCCTTTTATTTTTTTCTTTTTGGTATCGGGAATTAAATTCAGGACCTTGCACTTGCCAAGCAGGTGCTGTGCCCCACCCTCTCTGTGCCCTTTCTCCCACCATACTCTTCTCTACCCATGACGGAATGCATGACATTCTGTGAAGGGGTTGCAGTCTGGCAGCATTTGCAGCATCCTGCAGGGCCACAGTTTCTTTCTTTTTTTTTTTGTCTTTTTTCATCTTTTTTCATTTTTATCCGTACTAGGGATCAAACTCACGACTGCCTGCTTGCAAGGCAGGCTCTTATGCTGCTGAGCTAAATACCCAGCCCCAGGGCCACAGTTTCACTTGTCCTGTGACGGGAGCAGCCTGTGCTTTGAACTTGTGTTCACAGATGATTCCCTGAGTGGAGACCAGGTGCTTCTCCTGTGACCCCGGTGTGGACCCCTGGCCTTTCTGTGCATCTGTGCCCATGAAGGTGTGGAGCCGGTGGGGATCTGCAGAAGAATCTTAACCTACATGGAGCTCCCTGCTTCTTCTGTCATGGCCACTGCAGCCCATGGTCCCAACAACCATCTGCTCCTTGTGCTAATGCATGGTGGGCAGCCATCTGCCCTGCCCAGGAGGAGGCTTGAAAGGAAGGAAATGGGTTCTGTGTGCATCAGGCCCACGAAGCACCTGGAACCTCTGCCCTCTCAGTGAGTTTGCTGCCTACTGAAAATGGCCAAAAGTAAAGTAGCTGCCGGAGCTTGCTGAGATGGGAAGGCTTAGTCAGATGAGCAGTGTGGAGAGGAGAAGGCAGAATTGATGGGTAGGCAACCCTACTCTGACCTGTTTATGTCTCTCTCTCTGGGAATATCAAGCAGAACCCCAACATACAGAGCCTCTCAAAGACAGGTGAGAGATTCCTTAGTGACCTGGTTGACTTGAGCTGCTCTGTCCCTGTGACACCGGAAGCCGGGCTCTGAGCAGGCTCCCAAGTCTTCCTCCTGTCTGTTCTCAGGAACAGAGCTAAAGACCATCAACGACTTCCTCTTTCAGAGCCAAGCGGACAACATTAACCTGTTCAAGGTAGAGCTGTCGCCTTTCAATCTGGGCCTATCACACATCCTTCTTGGTGCCAGCTATGGGCGCTGCTGCTTTCAGATCACAGAAGGAATAAAAAGCAGAGACCCCATCACATGGCAGTCTGAGGACCTGAAAAACAGACGAGGGAGATTATCAGCCCCTTAAAGCATTATACCCAGGAACTAAGTGACCTTCACTCTGGGTTGGGCTCGGTGGGAAGAGGAGCCTTTCTTGGACCTAGGTGGCACAGTGGGATTGCAGGTTCCCCCCACTCCTCTTCCATCTCACCCTGGAACCTTAACTTCGATCATAGCCTCCAACCTATGCTCGCACTCACCCTGCACATTCGGGTCCTGTACATGGTGGACAGCCATTGTCACTGGAATCACTGCCCAGTGACTACAGCCTTAGCTGCCCCTATGGACAGAGCACATGCTGTGTCCTGGGAGGTGACAGGTGGGGGCCACATGACAGCACCCTGAGTTATGGGTGGAACAGTCCCCACACCCAGTGTCTGGGGTGCACCTGCTTTTTGCCTTTGCTTATAATGTTTTGTTTTTATTTTGATTCTGAGCTCCTCAGGGTCCAGTTCACCTGCCATCACTGGGAAGGAAAGCAGGGGCAGAGCATCTGTGGAGTGATGAGAGTCTTGGGACAGTTCTGAGGAGGCCACAGAAGTGGCACCATGCTGATGGTCAGAGGTGGAGGAGGAAAGGAAAGGGGCAGGGTGGGCATGGAGCTGAGCTTCAAGCTTGTTTTGTTTTGTTTTGAGGCAGAGTATTGTATACATTTCAGACTGGTGTGAGCTCACTTTGTAGCCCAAGCTAGTCTCAAACTTGCAGTGATCCTCCTACCTCAGTCTCTGGGGTGCTGGGATTATAGGTGTGCGCCATGACACCTGGCATGCTGCTTTGTAAAGTACATGCTGTGGCCGCCACTGCCTCACAGCCATCTCTGTCTCATGTTTGCAGGTGCAGCAGTACTTCAAGAAGAGCAAGGTCAGCAAGAAGGTAAGGCCACTGCCTAGTGTCCTGCCTCAGGGGCCCCAGATCGTCTCTGTCCCTGCTCCTCAGGCTGGGGGAGGGGTATGGGATGCAGCCTTCTGGAGTCCCTGTGTTACCTCGTCACTTTCTTTTCTCCTCTACCAGTTCTGTGGCTTCATGGAAAGCTGTGGTGACATCCCCCCATCGTCCCAGGAGTGGTCCAGACTGGCAGGGCGCCAGCATTTCCTGCAGATCCTGCAGCCTGGGGTGACTGAGAGTGAGTCAGGACAGGAAGTCAAGCGGGGCTATGGACCTAGGTGGCGCTGGACCTAACCTCACTGGAGTCCTGTCCTCTTTCCTCCTTCCACCCATGTAGCTCCCGCTGCCCCCACGGAAGAGGCTGAGGTCAAGGCCACGCAGGCTGCTTCCCCACTGATGCACATCAAAGGCTTCCTCGCAGCCCTCACCATTGCCAACTAGGATGGCAGGGTCATCCTGAACCACCAAGGTACTGAGCAGCCAGCCCGGCTAGGCTGCAGCAGGGAGCTGTACCCGGGACGCCAGGCACATCCCAGCCTTGCCCGGCTTAGCAATGGCCAGGGTGGGTAATGGCCCTAAGGGTGGGAAGTTGCCTTGTGACTGTGTGACCTGGATTGATTTCTCGCTTTGCACCTGGATATGCTTTGTCTCTGTGTGTGCATGTGTGATGGCTGTGCTGTCTACATTGACACTTGTCCCAGAGGGAAAGCAGGGCTGGACTCCCTGTTGTGTGCTGGCCCATGTGTGTCCTGCAAGTCACCCGGGAGCCCTGTGTTCAGCTGGCCCCACCCCTCTGTCTGACCCCATACCTGGCTCATTTTCACAAAGGGCAGAGCAACACATCAGTGGAGGGTGGTACCTGACACTCAGTACCTGGGTGACCCACCTGTTTCCAGTTATCATAGTGTCTAGGCTGTGTCTCAGGGACACTGATGAGATGCAGTTTGAAAAGCAAGAGTGTGTACTGGTATTTCTGAATCAAAATTAAAAACTTAACTTCCTCGACCTTACATTTAGATCCCTCAGGGCAGGCAGAACATGGAGGAGTAGATAAATATGTGTTTAGTGACAATGACAACAAAAAATATGTGGTATCTGGTTGCTGAGTGAACATGTGGTTTCTTGTTAGCTTAACATAACTATTTACTTAATCTCTCAGTATCCTTAAACAGCCTGTGAATCACATTCCTGCTCCCACAGGAAACCTGCTGAGTGAAGGGGCACTGCTCCACCTGCAAGCCCCGCCTTGGTAGGGTGCAGCGCCCTGTGAAATCAGGCTTTTCTCTCAGTGCTTCTTTTGGTAGTGGAACCAGTCATTGGGAACTTTGTGGCTTCAGTGTGGTTAGAGCTTGCTTTTTTTCTCTTTCAATCTAATTTTTGTTTTTAAAACATGTAAACACCCATGCAGTTCAAAAGTTAAAGCTATTTTAAAAAATACAGCCAGGGACTCTTACCCTGTTCCTCAGCTAACTGGACCCCACCCTGTGGGGAATTGTTTTCCTCAACTGGGACTGGAGCTTTCTGGTGGTTTTGTTGGGTGGCGATGCTGAGTGTTTGATTTGAGAGATTTTTCTTTTCTTTTCTTTTTTTAAAATTTTATTTAAAAGGAAAAAGAGAAAAACAAAAAACAAAAAAGAGCGGTGTAAGGGTACAAGTAATACAGAACTACAAAAAAAAAAAACAGTAAGAGATCACCAGTTAATAGATTACATATTGTCATCTTAGAAATAGTTGCTCAAATCACAGTATCAAAGAATACAAAGTGGACATTCAAACAGTGAGACTGCAAAGAGTTGTGTTCAATGATCCAACCAAAAACATTAATATGGTCAGCTATTTAACACCCCTAAACACACTTGCTGTTGTATCCTTTAGAGCTCTTTTTTCCCTCTCTTTTTTACAACAAAATTTACACATTTTGGGTTTTATTACTCCTTAGTTCTTATTACTTTTTTGGGGGGAGAGAATAAAGTCAAATATGGCAAAACAAAGCTGTCAGTCAAAAACCAAGGATAGACACAGCACATGATGTAAAACAGAGTACAAGGTTATCAACAATGGTTATCAACGATGTCTCTTGTTTCCTTAAAAAGAATTGTCTATCTCATTAGATATTATAAAGTTGAACAAAACAGTAGAGAACAAGACCAATAAAACTTAGGCATTGTAAACATTACAGGATTTCCAAAGGAGACAATAGTCAAACCAGAATGGGCATCTTAGTGAATCTTATTGCCTTCAAAGTAGTTGCCTATACCCTCAAACTTGATACTATCATACAGAATGGAACAGAGTCTAATCAGTCAAAACAAGATCGTGGGAGTATTACAGGACTTCAAAACAAGTTAATAGGAAATCAAAAAAAGTTACTATTATATACCCTGCTAATTTTTTAAATTTTTCCCCTTAATTAAAACAAACATAAGAAATAACTAAATAATTTTTTTAAGGAATAAGGGAGAGATTGACATAAAACAGGTCAAAGCATGACTGTTTCAGCAACCTAGTGTTTCACCACCAAATAACCCGACTTAATAGTAGTTACCATAGTGTCTGTCTTTTTCCTTGAAATATTTGAATAAAACTTCATATACTATAGCTTCAAATATTTCCATATCAAGAAGCCCAGAATAAAGCCTTTCCAATTAATAAGTGAAAACTTTATAAGGCTTCAAGGCCACATAATGGGGAATCATGATTAACACATATTTTTATATATTTGAATCATTACTTACATTAGGGAAACTATTCGGTATTCACACATGCGAGATTGATTTATTTCACTTATGAGTATGGTCTCAAGCTGCGCCCATTTATTGATAAATATCTCAATGTGATCCTTCTTTATAGCTGAATAATACTCCACTCTATAGAAATACCACAACTTTTTTACCCATTCCTCAGTTGATGGACACTTGGGTTGTTTCCAAGATCTGGCGATTACAAATTGTGCTGCTATAAACATAGGTGCACATATATTACTGTGGTATGATGCTTTCAGTTCTTCTGGGAATATGCCTAGAAGTGGAATAGCTGGAATAAATGGGAATTACAATCCCAGCTTTTTGAGAAATCTCCAGACTGACCTCCACAAAGGCTGCACCAGTCTACACTCCCACCAACAGTGCAGGAGAGTTCCTTTTTCCCCACAACCTCTCCAGCATTGGTTGTTGTTGGTTTTCTTGATCCTGGCCATTCTTTCAGGAGTGAGATGGTATCTCAGTGCGGTTTTAATTTGCATTTCTCTAATGACCAATGATGATGAACATTTTTTCATGTATTTATTTGCCATTTGCATTTCTTCATCTGAGAAGTGCGTATTCATCTCAGATGCCCATTTTTGGATTGGATCTTTGAATTTTGGGGGTCTGAGTTTTTTTAATTGTTTATATGTTTTAGACAAGAGTCCCTTGTCTGAGAGAGAGTTCACTAAAATCTTTTCCCAGTTTGTGGGTTTTCTTTTCACTATGCTGGAGATTTCTTTTGACATGCAGAAACTTTTTAATAAGAAGTGGTCCCAGTTATTGATTCTGGGAAGTATTTCCTGTGCGGTTTGAGTCCTGTTCATGAATTCTCTACCTACTCCTATGTCTTCAAGGTTCCTAGCCAATTTGTCTTCCAAAAGATTTAGTGTTTCTGTTTTAATATTCAGATCTTTGACCCATTTAAATTTTAATTTAGTACCTGGTGATAGACATGGGTCTAGCTTTAGTTTTTGGCAAATGGAGAGCCAGTTTTTCCAGCACCACTTATTAAAGAGACTGTCGTTCTTCCAGTGAACCTGCTTGGCTCCTTTATCAAAGATAAGGTGGTTGAGTGTGTTTGTAGTTGTGGTTGTATCTTCTAATTTATTCCATTGATCTTCGGCTCTGTTTTGATTCCAATACCATGTTGATTTTACTACTGTTGCTTTGTAGTATAACTTCAAGTCAGGGATTGTGATGCCTCCTGCTTTGTCTTTGCTGCTTAGAATTGCCTTTGCTATTCTAGGTCTCTTCTGAAATTTAGGAGTGATTGCTCTAGATCTATAAGGTATGTTGACAGTATTTCTATTGGGATTGCATTGTATCTGTACAAAAGTTTTGGGAGAATGGCCATTTTCACAATGTTTGTTCTTCCTATCCATGAGCAAGGGATGTCTTTCCATTTTCTGAGATCATCTTCAATTTCTTTTTTCAGTGTATTATAATTTTCACTGTATAAGTCTTTCACTTCTTTTGTAAGAGTAATTCCTAAATATTTCATTTTTTTGCTTGCTAATGTGAAGAGTGCAGTTTCTCATATTTCCCTCTCTGTGATTTTGTTGTTCATGTATAGGAATGCTATTGATTTCTGAGTATTGATTTTGTATCCAGCCATATTACTGAATTTATTTATTGTATTTAAGAGTCTTTCAATGGAGTTTAGGGGGTCTTCTATGTAGAGTATCATGTCATCTGCAAACAATGATAATTTAACTTCTTCTTTTCCTATCTTTACCCCTTTTATTTCTCTCTCTTGCCTAATTGCTCTGGCTAGTACTTCCAGTACTATATTAAATAGGAGTGGTGATAAAGAACATCCTTGTCTTGTGCCCGATTTTAAAGTAAAGCCTTTCAATTTTTGGCCATTTCGTATGATGCTGGCTGTTGGTTTGTCATAAATGGCCTTTATTATATTGGAGGTAAAGACCATCTATTCCAATTTTCTGTAAAGTTCCTGTCATGAAGAAATGTTGGACCTTGTCGAAGGCTTTTTCCGCATCTATAGAAATGATCATGTGATTCTTATTTTTGGCGTTATTGATATGGTGGATTACATTTGTTGATTTATGTATGTTGAACCATCCTTGCATTCCTGGGATGAATCCCCCTTGGTCATGGTGTATAATCTTCTTGATGATTTGCTGCATCCTATTTGCCAATATTTTATTGAAGAGTTTTGCATCTGTGTTCATTAGGGAGATCGGTCTATAGTTCTCTTTTTTAGTTGGGTCTTTCTCAGGTTTTGTTACTAGAGTAATATTTGCTTCCAGGAATGACTTAGGAAGGATTGCTTCCCTTTGAATTTCATTGAATAGTTTGAGGAGTGTCGGCATTAGGTCTTCTTTGTATTTCTTGTAGAATTCTGCAGTGAATCCATCTGGGCCCGGGCTCTTTTTGGTGGGAAAGGACTTAATTACATTTTCAATTTCATTAACAGAGATTGGGTTATTCAACAGTTTTACATCCTCTTGATCTAGCTTTGGTACTTCATATGTTTCCAAGAATCTGTCTGTTTCTTTTGTGTTATCAAACTTTTGAGAGTAAAGGTTTTTGAAATAGGTGTTGATGATCTTCTGTATTTCTATTGGGTCTATAGTGATTTCACCTTTTTCATTTCTTATTGCATGAATTTGAGCTTTTCCTTCCGTTTTTTTAATAAGGTTGGCTAGGAGCTTATCGATTTTATTTATTCTTTCAAAGAACCAACTGTTTGATTCGTTGATTCTTTGGATTGTTTTCTTAGTCTCTATTGCATTGATTTCTGCTCTGATTTTTATAATTTCCTCTCTTCTTTTGGCTTTGGGCTTGACTTGCTCTTTTTTTCTAGCTGTTTGAGGTGTAGCATCAAGTTATTTATTTGTATTCGTTCTGTTTTCCTGATGTGGGAACTCAGTGCAATAAATTTTCCTCTGAGGATGGCTTTCATTGCATCCCACAGATTCCTTTAAGTTGTATTTGTGTTTTCATTTTCTTGTAGATGGTGTTTAATTTCTTCTTTAATTTCCCCTGTAACCCCCTGATTACTCAAGAGTGTGTTATTCAGTTTTCATGTGTTTGTGGGATTTTTGCAGTATCTTTTATCATTAATTTCTAATTTCAGAGCGCTATGATCCAATAACATGCCAGGGATGATTTCAACTCGTTTGCATTTGTTTAAATATATTCTGTGAGCTAATATATGGTCTATTTTAGAGAATGATCCATGGAATCCTGAGAAGAATGTGTATTCTGATGTTGTTGGGTGGAACATTCTGTATATGTCTATCAAACCCATTTGTTTGCAGGTGTGATTCATTTCTGTTATTTCTTTGCTCATTTTCTGTCTGGTTGATCTGTCCCTTGGTGTCAATGGCGTATTAAAGTCTGTTACAATTGTGTTACTGATAATTTGAGTTTTCATTTCTGTTAATAGTTGTTTTATATAACTGGGTGCTCTGGAGTTTGGTGCGTATATATTTAAGATAGTTATCTCTTCCTCTTGGAGTTTTCCCCTTACAAGTATGTAGTGACCGTCTTTGTCCTTTATGGTAATTGTTGGTTTAAAGTTCACGTTGTCTGCAAACAGAATGGCTACTCCTGCCTTTTTTTGGATTCCTGCTGCATGAGGTATTGTTTTCCATCCTTTGACTTTCAGTCTGTGAGTATGCTTCTGGGTTAGATGGGTTTCCTGTAAACAGCATATGGTTGGATTTTGTTTCTTGATCCATTCTGCTAGTGTCTTCCTTTTGATTGGTTCATTAAGACCACTTACATTAATGGTTATTACTGTTAAATGCTGGTTTATTGTTGGCATGTTATCTCTCTGCTGTTCCATCTTTATCTTTCTGTTCTGTTTAATTATCTGCTTTGCTTAGTGGTTTTTTCCTTTGTGTATCTAAACTGTCTTTCAATATTTTTTGCAGGGTTGGTTTGGTGTTCATGAAGTTCTTCAGCTGTTCTTTTTCATGGAAGTATCATATTTCACCATCAATTTTGAATGATAGTTTTGCAGGATACATCAGTCTAGGTTGGAAATCATTTTGCTTTAGGATCTGGAATACTTCACTCCATGCTCTACTTGACTTTATTGTTTGTGCTGAGAAGTCTGCTGTTATTCTGATAGGTTTTCCTTTATAAGTGATCTGTCTTTTCTCTCTGACAGCTTTTAATAATCTATTCTTGTGTTGGATTTCTGGGATGGTGATTATTATATGTCTGGGTGTAGTTTTATTTTGGTTATGACTATTTGAGTTCTATATGCTTCACTGATCCTGATGTTGGTTTCTGATCTCATGCTTGGGAAATTTTCAGCTATTACTTCTCTAAATATCCTTTTGACATCCTTTATGTTGTCTCCTTCTTTTTCATTAATCCCTATCATTCTTATGTTATTTTTCTTTGCATTGTCTTGCAGTTGTTGAATTGTTGTTTCCTGATTCCTTGTTATTTTTAAAAGATCTTTCCTTTCCTGTTCACTAGCTGCAATCCTGTCTTCAAGGTCTGAAATTCTATCTTCACTTTCATTAAGGCAGTTTTTACAACTTTCAGTGGAGTTTTTTATTTCCTGTATATCTCTGTGCATCTTTATTATGTATTCTGTTTGTTTCTTCTATTGCTTGTCTACGGATTCTATCTTTTTGTTTAGTTCCTCCAATTTTTTATCTGTGTTTTCTTTAGATATTTTCAGAATCTCTTTCATTTCTTTTATCATTTCTTCTTTTACCTGGGAGATTATTTTGAGTTTGAATTTCTTTAAAGCTTCAGGAGTTGCTTGTTAATTTCAGTAGCTATTGTGTCCGATATTTGAGGTGAATGGCATATATTTTCTTCTATATACATTGCTCCTAGGTTTTCTTGAGATGGGCTGGAGGTTTGAGGTTGTAATTTGGTCTTTTGCTTTGTCATTTTCCTATATTTCTATGTTTCAAGTGTTATTTGAAAGCTTCCTCAGGATCTGTTGAAAATCCCCTTCTATGTTTGCAGCTACTGAGACTCTGGCACCACGCTACCCCAAGCCACTGGGCCTATAGAACCAATGGCCCTCCTCTGCCTGCTCAGAACTCCGCAGTTCCAGACAAGCTAGGCCTTAGGGACACTGTGCGCCCACCTGCCCCTTGGAAGCTCCACAGCTCTCCAATTGTAGCCGGGATGTGGAGGTAGATGTTGACGCCTCAAACCCACCTCTCCACTTCACTGCACCTGGAACCCTGGAGGGTCCCAAACAGTGTGGGCTCTGGGCAGAGTGCACTGAGCACTCACCACAGGCTGCAGGGCCTCTGGAACCCACGATGCTCCACCGCCCGCCGACACATCTACAGTCCTCCAGACACACAGGGAGGCTGATGCAGGCGCCCCAGATCTGCCCAGCCCCTCCTCTGTACACCGATGGCTTGGTGTGGGAGGCCCAAACAGGCTGGGCTCCAGGGATAGTGTGGGCCCGCCCCCCTGTTGGAAGCTCAGCAGTTCTCCAAGTGCAGCCGGGATGGGGAGGCGGATGTAGAGGCCTCAAACCCACTTCTCCACTTCACTGCACCCGGAAGCCTGGAGGGTCCGGAACAGTCTGGGATTTGGGCAGAGTGTTGTGAGCACTCACCACAGGCCATGGTGCCTCAGGAACCTGCGATTCCGCCCCCCGCCCCCCCGGCCTGCTGAGATATCCACAGTCCTCCAGACACATGGGGAACGAGATTTAAAAAATTTTTTTTTTTGCTAAAATAAATATGAGCCTGCTCTTTCCTGTGTCCGTGAGAGCCTCGGCTTGTAGCCTCATGGTTGCTGGCTCGTGCTGGCCAGTAGCATGGCGAGGTCTGCAGGCTTTAGTGGTTGTTGGCTTTGGGCTGGGTAGAAGTGGCACTGCTCATGCAGCAGGCGGCCTCTACCCCTCCCCAGGGTCCATCTCAATGTGCAGATGGTATCCTGAGGATGAAAAACTTCTGCCTGGCTAAGCTGCATCTCTCAGCTGTTTGAAGCTTAGACTCCTATATAACTCCTGGTTTAGAAAAGTGAAACTACTTGTCACTTGCTAAACAGTGCAAAACTCCCCTGTCTGGGGTTCATGACCATTGTGTAGCCCCCCAGACATACCCCCCGGGCAATGTCTGAGAGCTTGGTTCCTCCACCCAGTGCTTCAGCTTTAAGGGTTTTGCCCCATTGGAGAGGTGGCAGCTGTGTGGATCTAAAGACTTTCCTGTGGTGATTTTAATCCGACGCCAGGTTTGAGACCTGTTGTGCCAAATCGGCCACCTTTCTTGTGTTCCCTCAGCCATCTGAAGAGGCCGCCAGCAGGGCAGAGGGTCATTAACAGTTATTTTCTTTTTGATAATTCTGCATCAGCCTTTCTGGGCTTTTTTCCTGTGCAGTGTGCCTGTGGCTACCCAGCTCAGAATTTTCCCTCTGTTCTCCTGAGGAGCCTCTGTGCACTCCATACCAAGGCTCAAGGTCCCTTTCCTGGCCCTCCAGGCGTCACACACCTCAAACCCAGCATGCAGGGTGCTGGCCTGGGCTGGGATGGAAGTGGAGGATGTAGTGGAGTTTTCCTGTGGTAAGAAGACCCTGTACCATGACCTCTGCTCACTGTGTTTTGCCACTGGCTGGGCCCTAGATGGGGACACCACCAGATGGCTTGTCACCTGCTCCCTTCCCACTTTCATGCTCTGTGACCTGCCATCTGCATTGTCTGCCTTCCTTGCCCCAGGGACTCTCAGTGAGAGCTGTAAACCCTCTTTTTGTGTGGGAGATGGGTGGGGAGCACCCTCCTGGACCCTATCTGCCTTAAGAGCAGTTTCCCACCCCTCCCCATCTTACCAGGTCACTTGATCCCACCAGGCATCATCCTGCCCCTGGTTCTCTGCAGCAGGTCTGCCGGCCAGCAGCTAAAATTTACCTTCCAGCAGAGAGAGCTGCCTGCAATGGTGGGTGCCAGTCTCGGTGCCCACAGCGCCCAGGGCGCAGCACAGCACTCTGGGTCAGCCTGGTCAGTCCTGGCAATGGGGAAATTGGTATCTGGTCTCCCGTTCCAGCTGGCCTCCCAATGAGCGGAGTCTCTAGATATTTCTCATGAAGTCATGGGCTGCGGCTACCCCTGGGCCTCTAAATGAGTTTCTTTTAGCCTTTCAGATGGCCCTTGAGGATGAGGGACTGCCTCCTGCTCTGGTTCCCCTAGTAATGTCAGCACCACCCCAGGTGGGCACAGGTCTGGGGACGCATCTCCAATGCTGCCTGGGGGCAGGCACCTCCCTTATCTTAGATGCTGCAAGTCAGGATGCTGGGAGATGGGGGACTCAGTGGCCTGACTCTGACAGTGTCCTCTCTCTGGTGCTGGCACTGGGACCTAGGTCACAAAGGCAGGCGTGTTTGGCAAGAGGCTGGCACATGTGCCTTCCAATGTGGCTGTCATGCTCCTGGGCCCACTCATGCACTGGGTTGAGTTCTGCCCTCAGCCTAGAGCCCAGCTATGGTGTCCCAGGCATGCTCCTCAGGATCTGTCTGCCTCCTAGATGGATGAGACAGGGCACAATCTCTGCAACCTATGCAACGTGATCCCTGGGGGGCTGGTCTGCTTCTCTTCCTATGAGTACCAGTGCCAGGTCCTCACCCACTGGGACAGGAGCGGCCTGCTGGCCCACCTTTCTATCAGGAAAAAGGTGAATGGTTCCTTACCCAACAGGTCTCTTCGGGGTGGCAGATCCTGGGGGCTCCCTGAACCCAGATGGTACTGCTCCTCCCGGTCCCTTGCCTGCACCCCTTCCTTCTAAGGTCTCTGCATCTGGCCAGAGGGATCCCTAAAGCTGGGCACTGTGAGGGTGGCCTGACCCCAGAGTGCAATCCAAGGCTTTGAGCTGATGTGAGCACCCACGGCCCCCTTTTCCTGGGAGACTGTTTTTCCCTGCAGCTCTTCCAGGAGCCCAAGAGAGCCAGCAAGGTGGTCAGGTGCTGGCTGTGTATTCCAGGTGCATTAAGGTAAGGGGTACAGCCTGGGCATGGGGGCCATGTGGGCCTGGCATCTTCCTGGCCCCAGCCCAGTGCCCCAGATGGGGCTTTCCACAGAGCTGTGGACAGGCAGGAAGCCCAGTGACCAGGGCCTTCCTCCTCTCTGTGGTGGGAGGGAAGATGAGTGAAGGGATCAACTTCTCTGACGACTTGGGCTGGTAGGTGCACCCTCTTCCCTGCTGGGTCCCTGCACCTGCCGTGGTCTCATGCTGCAGATTCTGTATGCAGACAGGGTGCTCAGGGTGTTGAGGGGGCAGCAGGGAGGGGGGTGCTGACTATGGAGCGAGAAGCCAGGCTGAGGCCTTGGAGACTCCATTCATTGGCCCAGGCTGGATCTGGTGGGCAGAGCAAGGGCGGAGCCTCAGGTGTCACCTCCATGTCCCCCAGGTGCCTGGTGATGGTGGGCATGACCCACCCCAACATCCAGTCACCTGAGCTGCGGAGAAGGTGATCTTCTTGGATCAGTCCAAGAAGGACTCACAAGAATGAACCTCTCCTTAGTTATATATCTGGGTTTGTGAGGGAGAAATCCAGCCTCCTGTCTCCTCAACAAGGACCTGCGGAGTGAATGCAGCCACTTGGAGGTTTCCTCCTGTGGTCTGCAGACAGCTGCTGCTCAGCTGTGAAGCGGAGACCAGGACCACAACAAAGATGCCAAAGAGACTGTGAGGCAGCGACACAACCTCAGAGACAGCAAAACCCTCAGGATAAGCATGCTGTCCAGCCTCCTGTAAAGTGCTAAGGGAGAAACTGCTTCTGGGTCAGGAGCCCAGAAAAGCCTCTTAGCAGACCACGATGCTCTCCAGTGGGAGGGAGCAGGAACGGGACCACCAGCTTTGCTGCAGGAAGCACTGAAAGTATGGCTTGCTGGAACTGAGAGGCACTCAGTGTGAAGAGCAACTCAAATCCCAAGGCTTAGAGAAAAAATAATGGAAAATAGGTTTATATGGATTCCATGCTGCAGTGACCACATTTAAACCTGCTGGGTGAAATAAAATATATTGCTGATTTCATCAGTTTCTTTTTACTTTTAAAAGCATGTGAGAGGGATGAGGATATAGCTCAGTGGCACAGTGCCTGCCTGGCAAGTACAAGGTCCTGAGTTCGATCTTGGTACCAAAAAAAAAAAAAAAAAAATCTTTATGTGAGTTAAAAGCACTAAGTGACTGGATTCTGGACCACGTTAATCATAATGGTCTCACATTATCATCCCCTCTTCTAATATTTGGTAGCCCTTAAATAATTATCATGAAGATAATCATTTGAAACATCTTTCAGTATATTTTCATGTGCTACAACCTCAGCACCAGTATTAGCAATGCTCATTGGTACGAATAATTATGAATTCAGTTACCTAATAATACACCTACACACCTTAGAGCCATTCCACTCCTCAAGAATTATTTCATTCTTAGTGAATTTCTTTTTGTCCCCAGTTTTTGATGAGGAAATGAAGGTGGACCAACCAAATAGCACTTTTTTAATCATCAAAATGCTACTTGGGATCAAGCCAGACTTAAGTTGTACTGTGTGAATTCAGAACTTTGGTGACTTATCAGTGTTTTTTTTTTTTTCATTTTAATGCATTAAAATGCAAATCTTAAGAAGTCAAAGCTTCAGCCTTAGGTGTGAGGCACTGTTTGGGCCCCTGGTGTAGGGCGGTTTTTGTCTAAGGAGAGGTGCTGGGATGCTGCACCAGGCCCGCCTGGTCCCCAGCACTTTCTAGACCTGGACCTGGCTCTGTCATCTCCTCACCACACTTTGACAGTGAGAAAGCCCAGTACAGAGAACAGACAACTTCCAAGAGGCCCTCGGTCTCTTTGAAAACGATTCACAACCCCCTTGGAGGGCACAATCAATACCCTAGAAAGCCAGGGATGCAGCTGAAAATAAAAAGCTGTGCATTTCATCCAAAGCAGCCCACCTTGGGGAGTTTTGTTACTGTAAGTCCTGGCTCCATAACTGCTGCCTGCAATCACTCCAGGCCTCTGACACCTCCTGCTGGCTCAGCTTCATTTTTACTGCTTTTTTTCTCTCTTTTCCTCCGAACCCACTGAGCTCCATCTTCAGCCCTCTTTTTACGTTTTATTTTGAGACAGGGTCTCCCTAGGACTCTCAGTTGCCCAAAGTGGGCTGCAACTTGCGACCCTCTAACCTCGGCCTCCCAGAGTGCAGGGTCACAGGCGTGCACCACCCTGCCTGACTTGCCGATCCTTTCCAAACCGGGAATGAAGCTCTGCCGCAAACGCCGGTGCTGCTGCTGCTGCCGCCTGGACCTGGGGCCCAGTGGTGTCAGGGCGACGGCAGGGTAGCAGTCATAGCCCACCTCCCTCGACCTCAACCCCGGCTCCTGTCTACACCCTACACCCCACGCCCCAGGCCCAGCCGGTGTTTGCGCTCCTACCTGGCTCCGCAGCCCCAAGGCCCGGAAGCCCGCTGCCGCCCGCCTTTCTTCCGCCGACACCGCTGGGTCCTAGCGCCGCCCCGCTGAGCCGCCAACCTTGCCCCTTCGGCCTTGAGCCCTTCCTGCGATCAGAGGCTTTCAGCCTCCTTGAATTGAGACTTGATTTACCCTGTGGAGGAAAGACGCTTCCTTGCCGGCACCCTTGCTCAGAGTATAGCATTCAAGGAGGTCCTGGATCTGATTCCCCGGCCCAAATAAATGAGGAATGTGGAAGCCAGGCGCAGATACGCGGTGCAGAAACCCGACTGCGGGCGGACACCGGGGCGCAGTCCCATCCGGGGCGCAGCCGGAGCAGCCGGGCTCCCTGGCCGACTCCGGAGAAGCCGCAGTTAGAGCTAGCCCTGAGCTTCTAAAGTGGGCTGGAGGTGCGCCGAGTCCCAGACAGCGCTCCCTGCCCGGACCTGGACATCACCCGCACCCCGGAGGCAGAGGCATCAGACACGCGGGGTCACCAGCGTTTCCTACGCAATGCCTAGGCCAGGGCTTTGTACTTTTTTCTTAGTGTTTCCAAAAGGCAATCTCCTAAACTACTCCTTCTGTCCTCAGATTTAATCTTTGATGTGGGGAATGAAAGCACTCAGGTTAGGACCAATGTGACTGCATGGATGCCTGAAATTCTCAGTCAGCCTCACGGAGACACTGGACTGTGAAGCAGGGCAGGGAGAGGCGTTGGTTTTGGATGGGCCCGGTTTTAACATTAATTCAGGAAGATTCAGCGCTTCCTGAGAAGGGTGGGGTGACTGCAGACCCTGTGAACGCTGTGGGCCACTGACCTGTTCCCAGAGGACTACGGCCCGGCCCTGGTGCACACCACACACGCAGAGCTTAAGTGGCAACGTTTATGGATGTTTAAAATCACAGTGAAAGCTAGCCGGAAGAAGGGGGGGGGGTAGAGAGAAAGGGAGAAAGGAATAGAAAAACAAATGCTTTTTGAAAAGTTAAATCTGCAGAAGCTCCAGCCCAGAACAGGCAATGGTTCTTCTGTGAGCTCCTGACTTGGTTCTTGCAAACCTTTCAAGGTCACTAGGTGAAAAAATACTGGATGTATAATAAATTTGCATTTCAGAGAAACAGTAGTAATGTTTTTTAGCATAAGCATGTGCTTTGCTTAATTTCCTACTTGTGCTAAAGCATTGTTTGTCTGGCATCAACTATTAACTAGGCATCCCAGATTTTCACTTGGTTAACTCAGCAACCCTCCTAAGAGCTCAGGGCTGCCAGCTGCCTTCATGTGTGGCTTAGAGATCTGGGGCCTCTTTGCCTGGTTGTCCCAGTCTCTGAAGTGCTGTGTCTCCAACTAGCCTCTCTCACCCTGCCCTTTCACTGTGCCCCTCCTAGAGGCCAGCAACAGTGGCCGGGGGGGGGGGGGGGGGGGGGCAGGGTCCCTGCAGTTGTGGGTAACTGTGGTAGGCAGGACTGGGCTTCTTGGGATGCCCTGGGACTTGCTGAGGTACAGGTGTCAGAGGACAGGCCTTCTGCCTGCAGGACACTGGCGAACAGCATATGCACGTCCTGTGGTCCACTGAGCCTGAGTTTCACATTGCAGCCCACCTGTCACTCCTGTCCTGCCTTGTGTCCTTTCCAGTGCCTCCACTAGTCTGATGCCTGGGCCAGAACAAAACCAATCAAAGCAAAACAATGAAAACATAACAAGACTTCCAAACAGGATAACGGGAAATAAACAATGGTTACCATAATATCTGTTTTCTTACAAATAGCTGCCCATATTATCACACATAATAAAACAAACAAAACAAAGCAGAATAAAAATAATCAAAACAATGAAAACATTATAGGACTTCTAAACCAGAAAATAGGAAATCAACAATGGCTACCATAATATATCTTATCTTCAAAGTAGCTCCCTGTACCATCAGACAGTAAAATCTAACAAAACAAGACAGAACAAAACCAAACCTAACAAAATGATGAAAATGATACAAAAATTTAAAATAAGACAACTGGACATTAACAGTGGATACCACTTTCCCTTTTTAGGCCTTTCTTCCCCTAATCATTTTCATATGTATTGTGCTTTTTTGGGAATGACTAACTCCTTTGGTTTTTTATGCTAGGGAGATAACTTGGTGTTCAGCTGTATGAATCCAAACCATTTCACCCATGAGCATCATCCAGTTGCATCTATTTACCCACAAAAGCCTTGAGATTATCCTATTTTATAGCTGGGTAACTTTCCATTGTATGGAAATACTGTATCTTTCTTATCTATTCTGTGGTTGATGGGCAAGTTATGCTTACTGTTTTCTGGTCTCCAGTCACACGGAACAATTGTTTTGTCTCCTTTATTAGCCTTTGAATTTCCTTCCCAGTTAAATGTATTTCCTGTATACAGTGTATTGAAGGGTCATGTTTCTTGATCCTCTTTACCTGTTTCTTTTTAGTGGTGAATCAAGGCCATCTACATTAATGATTACAACCGGCACACTTTGGTTCATCTCTGGGGGTCAACACAAATGAAATAAAAAGACTATTCATAGAACTAATAGACCCCCAGAGAGATGAACCATGGTATCTTCCTGCTGTTGGCCCTTTACTTTTTCACTTTGTTCAACTGTTTGTCCTGTTTGGTGGTCCTTCTCTGCTGCTGTTCCTGGAACCATGGGCATCCTTATGTCTCTCTAGAATATCCTTCAGCACTATCTGTAGGTTTGGTTTGATGATGATGAAGTTCTTCAGTTGTTCATCATGGAAGTATCTTATTTCTTCATTAATTTTAAAAGATAGTTTTGTAGGATACATCAATCTGGGTTGGAAGTTGTTTTCTTTCAGGGTTTGAAGCAGTTCACTCCAAACTCTTCTTGACTTGATGGTTGTGCTGACAACCATCTGATTGGTTCTGATTAGTTTTCCTTTATAGGTGATCTGTTTCTTTTCTCTAACAGCTTTTAATATTCTGTTCTTTTGCTGAATTTCTGAGATCTTGATTATTATATGTCTGGATGTAAACTTACTTTGGTTAGGGCTAGTTGAAGTTCTCTATATCTCGCTTATCTGTATGCCAGATCCTCTTCCCATGTTTGGTAAGTTTTCTGTTATAGTTCTATGAATAGTCTTTTTATTTCATTTGTGTTGACCCCCAGCTTTTTTTCTGATACGCATCACCTGTAAATTATTTTCTTTGTGTTGTCTTGCAGCTGTTGAATTGTTATTTCTTGATTCCTCATTATTTTTAAGAGATCTTTCCTTTTACTATCACTAGCTGCAATACTGTCTTCAAGGTCTGAGCTTTGCTAGTTTTTTAATTTCCTGGATATCTCTTTGACTCTGTTTCATGCATTGTAATTCCTTCCTATATTGTTCATTCAAAGTTTTCATCATTTTTCTATGCTTCTTTTTTAAATCTATGTCTTCTTCAGCTATTCTCAGCAATGCTTTATGTTTTTGACTTCTAATTTATGTGATATATTGTCTGTGATCTGGTTACTTTTACAGCCTCATGAAGTTGTTTCTTTAGTCTAGTTGCTATCCTCTCAGAGATTTCAGGTGTGTGACTTCCACTGTCTTCCATGACTGTATTTCCCAGGCTTGTTCTTTGTGGGCTGGAGGTCTGAGAATGCCTCTTGCTCCTTCATCTTGACATTCTCCTGGGTTCCTCCAACAAAACAATTGTGGAGTCCCAGGGACTCCCACATTGGCTGACCTTCTGTGGTGAGGAGAATGGAACAGGCGCCCGGGTTTCTCTGACCCCAGATTCCTAAGGAGAGCAGGGAATGGGGGAAGCTTTTTCCAGACTTGTGCAGCTACACTGAGGCTTCCTCAATGGCAAGGGATGGATGGTGGCAGGGCTACTTTTTTCAGCCTACATGTGTATACCAGGGCTCCCCTGATGGTGGCAGAAACACAGGGGTGTTTTTGTCTGATTCTCCTGGTAGGTGATGACTGCTTGAAGGAAGCTAGGGTCTCCAGTGGAAACATGCAGCACACAGGACATATTTGGGTGTGTGTCTCTGCTCTCAGGAAGAAAGACTTTCTGATGGTGGGGGCAGGCACATAGGGAAGGATGTGGCTGTGTCTCCCTGCCTGTGCTGTCTGCCCAGAGAAAGCAAGCCTTTGGATGGTGGTGGTGGGTGCATAGAGGTGGATCTGGCTGTGTATCTCTGCCCATGCTGCAAGTGCAGATTAATAAATGGAAAAACAACCATATAAAATAACCTAGAAGTTTTCTGAAAGTGTATAGAAAAATATAAATTAGTGTGAACAATGGAAGTATAGTGCCACGAAAGAGTAAATAGAATAAATGATTCAGTTAAATATAAATTGTCAAATTGAAGGACACATCATATTGCCTTTTGTTTTTTAAAAGACATTCTTAAGCTAAATAAATATGGAAAAATTCAAATACATGTTGTAAGTACAAAGATGTTACTGATCAAATGCACAGCAGAATAACTCTGGTACATAAATACAATTTTGAAATAAAAACAAGTCAATGCATACTTCATTTATTATTGTATAGAGGTTCAAATTATCACAAAAAATTAATTTTGATATTATAAAATTATAAATCATGACATTTCCAGATATTGTAGCCTCAAATAAAAAAAAAAAGAAACTGAAGAATTTGATGATGATGAAGAGGAGAAGAAAGATATGTGGGGAGATTTAGAGGGAGGAAAAAAGAAATATCAGTAGGGAATTATATGGCTTTATACTGAGAAATCACAACAATTATGTCTTAAAGAAAAAAATAACATCTATGCATTGATAGAATATTTCAAAATTAAATTAGCAAGCTGAATTCATCATACAGATAGCTATATTCCCTAACAGAAGAGTACATACTCCGGGCCATAGGTAGCTCAGTGGTAGAGCCCTTGTCAGACATGTAGGAGGCCCAGAGTTTATTCTACATTACTTTGGGGAACATAAGAATAAATGTTTTTTTTCATTCACATAGAGCTTATTAATAAGGAGTGAACATGAGCTGGGCTGTAAGTCAAGAAGCAACACATCCCAAGTGTGATGGTGCACATCCATAATCACAGAACTCTGGGTGCATCCACCCAGAGGCAAGTTCAAGACCAGCATGGGGAACATAACTACATAGCAAGACTCTGTCTTAAAATTAAAAGCTAATGAAGACATGTGATAATTAAGGACAATACAAGGCATTTTTTATTGTTTTCTTGAAGAAATTTATGATATCAAGGGATATAAATGTAAAGCTTTCCAAAACTGAGAGACTATTTGTGTTTCTGTTGTAGAAAAGATGAAGTGAATGGAGTTATTTGGAATAAGCACTTTAAGAAATGTCTATTTTTGTATTGCCATTGTTTTTATATTTTTAAACTAAAAAGATGATAAAAACTGTATTGTCTTGCTAGTGTACAAA